GATTCTTATGAATACTAACTTTACTTAAAGTATGTATTATTGTAACCTTATTTTCAAGATAAATAAGGTGACCCCATTTAGCAAGCCTCCATTGTGAGTATTCAGATTGTTACTTGATTTGGACAAATTTACAGGGAGACTTTAGTAGGTTTTTTTTACAATATATTCATTATTTTTTTCGTTAATTCGATATAAAAATCGATTATTCTATATAATTAATATACTTTTTAAAAGTAAACAAACTTTCATTTTGTTTTACTTTCTCAATCAAGTTCATATATTAACGACAATTTAAACGATGTTATTTGCGTATGGAAAGAAACACAGTTGCGGTTTGCTTAATTAAACTTTTTTTGTTATTAAACTTGTTCGATTTTTGTGCTTCAACCTGTTACAATTTTATGTTTATTTTTCGTATTCATACATTTGCAATGATGACATAATAATGAACAATACCGACATTTACTTTCCTGAAATAACTGTTTTTTTTATCGTTGTTAGTAAACTTGTTTGATTTTAATGAAATAATGATAGAAATGCGTTAATTAAAATAAATAAAATATTTGCAAATACAAATTTTAACTGAAATGATTTTTTATAGAAAAAAATACAAACCCATTTTTTTAAATACTATTCACTTTCAAGTTTTACATTATAAATTAATTATAAATCGCAAAGAGTTAATACAATTTTTATTAAAGTATATATGAAAACAGACTTGGGCATACAAACCTATGGTAAATTTGATAACTATTATTGTTTATTGTTATTGTATGTTTTTATTTTTTATGTGACTGTTACAATAAAGATTGTTATTATAGAAACGCTTAAAACAGTAATTTTTAACCATTTCGTCAACTAGTTTAACACTTTAGATGCATTACTGAAGACATAGAGCTAAACGAAACAGCATTATATTAGGTAATTTTAATAAATAAGGAAACGGGAATACGTTGTATTTATAGTAATTTGCATTATAATATATGTTTTATAAAACACAGACATTTACATACAGAAATAATAAGTTTATTTTGTGGTGAAAGTCCTGGCATCTAGAAACATTTGTCGCTTTATTTTTCTTTCATTAAGCAAATGTTTGTAGCAGACGATCGCACCCAAAACTCCTTCTTTTTGCTTTTGCACTCCTGTCAAAATTTAGATCATTCGCTACAATTTGATTAACAATTTCGATTATCGTTTCCAAACTTTTCTAAGAAAATCTGAAGCAAGTTATTTTGGTTCATCTTCTTCAGAATAACTATTCAATTCCTTGTTTTGCCAGTTCTTTGTTGTTGTTGTTGGTAATGTCCTCGACAGAAACTTGCAGTAACTCCATAATACCCTGCTCATCTACATCTCAAACAAGCATAGATACTTGGGAACCACAGCGCTTCGTGTTCAGGAATAATCGTATTATATACTAATCAATGAAATGCCGAAATAATTTGAATCCAGGTAAATTTTTAACTTCTTTAAGGCTTTCAGCAAATCGCTAAACGAGGTCTTACTGTAAGTGTACATGAATATTAAAACACCATCATGATTTAAGTTTGATACGGAAGTTTAACTTAAGTCTCGAGTATGCTCCGTGAGACAAAAAAGGTTGAAGAACACTGGATTTGATGATGAGTAATCATATACCAAGATACCTTGAATGTCACACATTTTAGGTTTAAAATCATTCTAAATTTCTCCATAAGAGAAATTGTATCAAACAACTTTATATAATTATCAGAAATCATTTAATACACAATATGTTTTTCAGGATATATTATAGATAAAGATCGTAACAAAAAAAATACAATTTCCTAATTTATTTTTTTACTAAATATATTTGATATCATTAAGCCTATAATATCCTTATCTTGTTTTGTGATTATAAATGTTCAGAAGCTTTTAGTTTTTATTGATTATTATTAAATACATATGTACAAGAAAAAAGCATCTACAACAATCTAACAATTAATTACTACAGGTTTTCGGGAATAATTTGGTTTTCAAACAACCTTTGAAGAAATAAATAGAATTTAACTTCACATTTATACAACACGTATACATTTATAGTAATACTATAATTAAACTTGTTTGATTACTAATTTACAATTCAATTAATCATAAAATTGCACGTTAACGTTTAATATGCTGCAATTAACACATCATGTGAATACGGCTTTTAATCTGATTAATGTATCGCATCATATCAAAGTTATCAAATAAATAAATCCATAATAGCAAAACACAAAACAATATAAGCAAAAAACAAAATAATATAAAAATAATTAATGCATAATACGATATTTTATTAGAAAATATTTGTCAGGAAAATTTTGTAGAATTGTTTTTAATACTTTTTTTCATGTTTTACATTTATATTTATTTTAGATTTATGTTTTTTATCTGAACAACCCTATTTTCCGATTTGCATGATTAATGTCAATAAAAAAAATTCATAGTATTCACGAGTCACAAATGAAGATTGACACATACAAAATTTGTTTAATGCAATACAACATGTATTCAAAAGTGTTGTAAATATTAATATTATCGTTTCCAATAGTTTTGTGAATACTTTTGGTTACTAATTTTTTAGACTGTATTGTTATTTTGCTTATTTAGTTTGATTTGAAATTTTCAATATTTCATATTGCGAGGTATTGTTGTATTGTCAAATTACATGCAATCTGATAGTGAATTTCTATACTGAATCCGGACTAATCGATTCCGCACTATGCAAGGTATTGTTATATTCTCAAATTCCATACAATTTGACAGTGAATTTCTATAGAAAATCCGGACTAATCGATTCCACACTATGCGAAGTATTGTTATATTGTCAAATTCCATGCAATTTTATAGTGAATTTCTATACTGAATCCGGACTAATCGATTCCATGCAATTTGACAGTGAATCCCGACTAATCGATTCAGCACTATGCGAGGTANNNGACTAATCGATTCCACACTATGCGAGGTATTGTTGTAATGTCAAATTTCAAATTTGTTGTATTGTCAAATTTCATGCAATTTGAAAGTGAATTTGGAATTATTTATGTTTTGTAAAAAGTGACCTTTACCAAAGCGATTAAGCAGTTGAATGAATCACAGGATGTCGCAATAAACAATACCATCTGACAAATTTTAAATAGTTGTAGTGGACGGAAAGTGACTTAAACTCACTTATCCAGTTCCAGTTCCAAAACAATAAACCAATAAATCTGGAAATACCGATCATTTTATTCATAAATACTTTTTAAGTTAACAATCATATGTATCAAACGTATGTATAAATAAAGAACTGATAAAAAGAAATAGAACAAAAGAGAAAAATTATATAGAAACTACATTTAATCAATGGCAATACATCAATTAAGCTGTTAAATTTAAACGGTAGCAGTTATATCCAGTAGTGCACAACAAATAGTTTAACTTTTAATTTAATTGGTAACCGTAGTAACTGCGTTGTTATTTCCGATTAGCATGATAAACGAAAAAAAAAACGGAAACAATGTTAAAAATCCGGAAATATTATTATTTTCTTTAATAAAAGTCTTGTAAATGAAGTTTTTAATTATTAATTTCAATATATTAATGAATCAGAATAAAACGAATAAGGATTTCGCTGGAAAAAAAAAACATTCCATGTGTCAAATTTGAAGCAACTGCCTGCAACAGTAAGTTGGATTTACTTTTAAAAATAGTTTTCTAAATACAAATACAGTGGAGCTTTGCTTAACGCATAATGAGCATTTCGCGCTTGCTACATTTTTTCTAAAACTTATGTACACATGTTATGTGTATTTTTGAATATGTTTGATTATACGTGTATTTCAGTTAAGCGAGGTTCCACTGTACATTATTTATAGATAATAATTTACCAATGGGAATAAAACTTTAAGACAATTAAATGTATCAAGGAATGTCCTAATAAACAATTACATGTGACAGATACAAAACATTTGCTTGCACTTGTCATTAGTGCATAGCAAGTTTTTAAACTTTCAACTTGTTTAGTAACCACACAAACGACGCTTCTGCCATTCATCTTGATTAATGATTATGGATATTATAATAGGATATTTTTATTTAATAGTAGCAATTCAAGAACAATTAAAAATACCGTTATTTTCTGTAATAGTAGTTTTTTAATTACAATTACATTATTAATAAACTACAATTACCCAATGGGAAAATAGATTAAATACTTATATTTACCAATAAAATGTAATAATTGATTAAAGATTGTCTTGTTTACATAGAACTTATGAATGATACATATCAAAATGCTAAAAAAAATCTTTTTTTTTTAAATATATTTCTTCAAATTTGTTTTAAATACTCTGTTAAATTAATTATTTCATAAATATAATAAAGTTTTAATTAAACTTTTTTGAATAATTATTCATATTATTCAAGTATATAATAAGGAAATTAATTGATATCATTATGATTTTATGGGACAGATTGAAAAAGTTGCATGGTTTAACTTTGAAATAATTTAGTAACCACAGCAACAGTGTTATCATTTAATGGTTAGATAAATTAATGATATGTTTTAAGATATTGTAATTATAAGTCAATGAACTTTGCTTTTTTTAATTCGAATTAAAATTTTATAATTCAACTTGCAAAGTGATTCAAATATTTCATTTATCTAAATAAATGCATTATTGCTGCCAATGATAATATGGAGATTAAGAAGGTCATGACAAGAAGGTCAATTTGTACTGATAAACGATGTAATGTAAGGGATGCAAAATAATTGCGTCTTTAGTGGACTTAACTATTAGTAATAGTATTATAAGGATTACACATGATAATGCAAAAAATAAGCTTCATCCTAATAAATTATTCGACAGATGCAAAACAATTTTGTACAGTTGTAATATCACTGTAAGTTGGCTTAACTTTAAACTTGTTTGGTAACCTTAGTAACGCAATTGTTATTTTTCCGGTTAGCGTGATTAATAATAATAATATAAAAGAGATAACGCTGTACTCACGAGTCATGGATGAAGAAGGATAATAACACAAGCCGCGATACAATTTGTTATTGGACCGTCCAGGGACACATTTATATATAAAAATACGAATGCTAATAATAGCCGGATGTGCGGTCTTCGATATGCTGTTTATTATGATATATCGTATTGTTTATACACGGGATGAAAACCACCAAGAGCAGAGCACCACCACGCACCTTCGCCACGCAGCAACCGCTTGAGACTACTCGCGTTGATTGGAATACCGAAAAAAAAAGATTTTCGCTTCGCTCCCTTCGCAATGTATTTAGTATGCGTGATGCGCTGATGTTATGAAAATACTAAACACAACCAATTACCAACTAACTGACTTACCTTCTTACTTAACGCACGTGCTCTCTCGCTCCGCGTGTATACGCGTATACGTATACGCTGAGTGTATGTATGTATGTGTATGCACTATTCCCTATTCTTTCCGCGTCCACCTTTTGCGATACACTTTTCGGACGCAACTCTATTCCGATCGAATACGAAACTCGCATGGATGAAAGAAAGAGAGCCAGACTCTAATCATATCTTATCTACTAGCAACCAGCACGAAACCAATTCAAAGCAATCTGTATTTTTTATTTATTTTAATTAATTCCCAATAGTATCATGCCCATTACGACAAGTAGTGGCAGATAGATAAGCAGAGGTCCCGATTTCCTGAAAATCCCAAACTTTCGCTCAATTCGAACTGACGAAAGTCAAGTAGCCCGATTAGCATTCGGTCCGCGCCGCCAACTCCAAAATAAACCGGCGCGTTTTCGCAATCCCTGTCGGAAATTGGGACATCGCAATGTTGGGGTTCTTTGGTGATAGAGACCTTAGAGACGACCATTATTATTTTTCAATGTCATCTGCATCGATATGCGCAATAATATTTGAATCAAATCAAAACTTGATGTTTAACTGTTAGAAGTCAAATATGTATTGGGTGTAATCAATAATTCAGCATCAACTGTCAAACAATGCAATTCTATGTATTTAGATCGGTTTCGTAAACACTTTTGTGTAGCGCGAATCGTGTGCATAATGGGTATGATTGGAATACTTATGCGGAGATAAGAATCGAACAAACAACAACTGAATTGATCCGAAACGGAGATTATCGAAGACGAAACTTGTTTTGATGATGTTTTAGCAGGCTTCGATCAAAGTATGTCGACTCTTTACAACTGTTTTTTATCCTTTGTCACGACACACTAGAACCTGTAGTTAAACGTTCGATTTCTACAATATAGAATGATTACAGAAACGTAAAAATAAATACTAAATAAATTATTTGTAATTTGCCATTACGTATTTAATTCACTGAATAGCAATTCCAGTAATATCAATTGAATGAGACGTGTAATTTTAATTTTATTGCATGTTACAAAATGAATTACTGCATTAAATTATCTCCGTTCTACAACATTACTATTCTATTTGCCGCGCATAGTCTATATACAGAATTAGATTCGGAATGTTTGATAAAGTATATTTACATCGGTCCTGCTCGACTAACTCATTTCTTCGACTTATGTCGAACACACGATTATAAATTTGCGTTATACAAACTACAAACAATGCGCGTATTGTTGTGTGTACGGTTTCATAAGAGAAACTTGAAAATTAAAATGACTTAGTGTTGACTAATTGAAGATAATTTGCGATGTTTGAATGTTACAATTGTCTCAGTAACATACGTCAGTCGTTAGAAATTTTATATGAAAATGCTATAGAATTTGGAAAAAAGACCAAACAAAATCATGTTAAATAATTTAACTGATGCGTGAAAAGTCCAATAGGTTTTTATGATTTTACAAACGTCATATTTTTAATTAATTTATAATTAATACGAATGTTATGTACTTGTTGTTTATTTATTAGAATGTTAAGTAAATTATTCTATAATAATTATTGTGTATGAATAACTGAATTGTATCTTTCTATGGTAGCTTACATATAATTGTAAAAAATAATTACAATTAACTTGAATTAACTAAATATATGATTTTGTAGATGTTTCATGGGCGATTTTCTATAGTATTAAATAATACAATATCTTTAATAAAGATTCATATTTCAATATTAATGGTCTTCATTTTCTGTTACATTCAAAAAAATCACAATTTATTATTTAATAAAAATTAATAGTTTACTGTTTCTCAAGCTATGAACCGAGTTACATTTTTAATACTAAATGACAGCTATTACCTTGTGTCAAAGCAAATAGGTTGAGAAACGATTCAGTCGTTAAGTACTGAACGTTTCTCAATTTAAGGAAGCTAAGCTAGTTGTGATAATCATACTTCTGAATAGATGTTCATTGTCCATTACAGAATAGCAATTTAGTTTATCATAACTTAAAGCAAGATATTTATGTTTACGTATGTGTTTAATCTTATTTTTATCTCAATTAAATATAGCTACTATATAATTACCAATCAAATATCACAGTTTTAAAATGGTAAATACTCTTGATGCAAGAAATATGTATACCACAATACATTAATAAGCGGTTGCAAAGAAGTCGCATATTGCAACCGCTTATTATAAACTTATACAGACTGCAGCTTCTACTAAGAATTACATTTTTATGCAATGAGTGCATAATAAACAGAAGATATTTGACAAAAATAACTTTATAATTTCAATTTATTTATATAACTTCAGCAAATGACAAAACACAAAATGTCAAAAAATGCTGCCTAATCTAATTGCGCCCGTGGCTGCCGCCTCAGTTTTAATTCATTTTAATACCATTAATAATATAATTTTTTTTGCATGACTGTTCAATTAACGTTCATATAATTATATTATAAATTTTATATTTTTATTAAATTTGCCTTAATAGCATGAGCTATCATTTGAACACTTTATATTATATACTAGAATATAAAGTGTTACTATACTATTTTATGTTGAGAATGTGCATCATATAAATCAATACAATTTGAATTGGAAATCTTTTTTGTAATTGGGTTGAGGCCAAGCACCCATTTTATATAATCATGTACGTGATTCAGTTTCTGTTAACAATATAATTTTGGTGTGACAAAATTTTCCTTGAATTTCTCAAAACGTTATACTAGTGATTACTAATTTGAAATTTATTTTATCCATATAAATAAATGTACATGGAAAAGTGAACATAACTTAAATCAGTGTTCTTCAATTTTTTTTGTCTCATGGCACACTTAAGTTATATTTCCGCAACACAATTATATCATGATGGTGTTTAATTTTGATATACTTATATTGCATCGATTTTTTTGGAAAATTATTTAAATACAGATTTTTAAAATTATTTATATTATTGCAGAAGTCACGAGCAAAATGAATTATAAGAAAAATGACTCGCTTAACGAGTGACGATGAGAAGAGAAGCCCCTGCGCGCCTGCTGCTTCATTTTTAAAACTTTTGTAAACATATTATGTGTATTTTTTTAATATGTTTCACTTCACGAGTATTTTACTACAAATCCCGAAATTTTTGAACAAATTAAACTCGTTAAGGAGGTTCCACTGTAATTGAAAAAAGATAAATATATTATACAACTCAAAAAAAAATGATGCTACTCAATTATTATTATATAATATTTAAAATATGAATAATTAACAGTAAAAATTTAAAAACTTTCAAAAATATAAAATGTATTCTGTTACTAACCACTTGGTTGTGAAGATCCGAGTGTAATGCAGATAAATTGATTTCTAGATAATTCTAAAAATCTACACAAATAAATTCAACGAAACGTTTCAATTTCTAAAAAAAATATAATTGTGTAGGTTGATTCAGTTCCCCAGTCGCACAAATTGGACTATTTCGACAAAATTATTGTATTTAGGGTGATAAGATTCATGAATTACAAGTGCTCTATAAAACCATCGCTGGTCCTAATTATCCACAAGACACTTAAGGCATAGTGTCTAGATCCCACGAAAGAAATATTATAAGTAAGAAATGTTGACCATTATTTATATATTTTGACATAAAGTTTCATTTTATCTATTAAATTCTTTCATTTTTTACTATTTATTAATGTAAGTATAACTAAGTTCTGTCAACAGCTTGAAATTTAAACTTTTGCGGCATACTTAAATCATGATGGTGTTTTAATTTTCATATAAACACTTACAGTGATTCGAACTTCTTTGGAAAATAATTTAATTACATATTTTCGCTAAGATCCTAAAATAATTGCCTCGGCATTATCAAGATAAGTTCAATTAATTAAATAACTGAATAATTGAACCGTAAATTGAAAGTTGTTTGTACATACATATTTTCTTACTTAGCATAAATGTTCTACTGTAAATTATTTATATTTGAAAATTGTAATAATTTTTTAGCCAAAAAAAACGCATCAAAAAAATAAAAATAATAATTGCACATTACGCAATAATGCACAAAACAAATTATATTATTTAGGATCTAGAAAAAGCAAAACGATGAAAAATATTACTAAACATTTCGTTTTTATTTGATACTTATATTTTATAATTTAGTGCATAACTATGAAACAAGCTTTCGCATCGTATTAAGTAATATAAATATTGCCAGTAACTTTTTTTCTTCCTCCTACTTCTTACCTCTTGGAAGAGCCTCTTCTACCATTTAGCTGCGTCCTGTTTACGCATTATACCAGTAACTTGTTTTCGCAGCAAATTATGCTCGCAATACCAAGGTGCCACTGTATAAGGTTCTGTTATATTCAATTTTAAACATATATTATTAACTGGTTGCCTATATGTAATACTATATGAATACCGTCTAAAATTAGCATATTTAATGAATCACGTTTTATTGACATTGAAAATTATAATTTGAAGTAATAAATACACTATACCATATTGACCTGTTGCGATACGAAATGAAAAGCATGTTGAATTTGGTATTAATTTTTCCTTTTTTTATTTAAATTATGTTGTAAATAAAATGCAAAGCAAAATGAACATTTCGTGAGTGATTAAAGGGAATATGATTAGTTATGAAGTAAGGCTATTTCGGTGTTTTATTTAAGATTCGTCATCGCTGCCGGCCGGCTTGCGGGCTTTTGGACCTCCAGCCCTCTTTGCCATGATGATCTGGTCCACCCTGAGGATGGTCGCTGCCGCGCTTGTGGCGTATTTCAATCCCCAATATTTACAAACGTAGAGATCAAGGATTTCCTTGGCAACGGCGTCACAAGTGCTGCTCTCTGATTCGATGTCGACGCCGGAGTTTTTCTTGCCGGCCAAATGCTCTTCGAGCAGTTTAGCGACTACGGCTGTGGACTTATGACCGCTGTTGTCGGCTAACACTTTGGGGAACATTTCCAAAGCAGTGGCGAACTTCCTGACGGCGTACTGCTCCAAACCGGGAAGGGTGTCTGCGTATTGAGCCAACTGCCTCGACAATTCGCACTCTGTGGCGCCAGCGCCCGGCAAGTACTTGCCATCCCTGGTGATGCTCTTGAAAGTGTTCACACCATCGTCGATGGCACGTTCAATATCATCCATGTAGTTATCGGTTGCTCCACGGATAACGATGGTCGAGATTCTAGAATCCTTGCCGTCCATGCGGAAAATTACCAGAGGTGTGTCTCCCTTCTCCTCAACGGAGACGAAATCACAGTATCCCATTTCCTCGGCAGACGGTGCGGTCATCCTAGGCAGCACAGTTCCTCCAACAGTTTTGCTCAATCTCCTAAGATCGAATTTCGAGTTCAACCTAACAGCCATCATGCCGTATTTGTTCATGAAGTGCAGAGCCATATCTCCGAATTTTGCTCCGGCGACGATGACATTAGCGCCAGCATCGGCGATAGCCTTAATTTGAAGTTCGAGCATGTTCTCTTCCCCGCGACTGAAGTTCATCAGCTCATCGGCGGTCTTGATCAGAACGGTTCCCTTGGTCTCAGTTTGCATGATGTCCACTGCGCAACTGTACAAAGCCACCTTCGCCTTTTTAACATTGGTAATCTCACCCTCCACCTGTCTCTTGAACACCATACCTTGGACAACCTCAGACTTCAAAAGACCTGATCCCAAGATCTTGCATACCCTCACATTGTCAACATTGAATGTGGTCTGCTCTGGGAGGATGGACACACAAGCCTTGGCAACTAATCTTGCCAAAAAGTCTTCATGTCCATATTGTTTTGATTGGATTGAGGTGCGGATTCCTTTTACAACTTCTTCCTCATTCCTGAAATCTTTGATTTCCAAGCAAGTCAAACTTGGAAGGATTTCTAAACATTTTTCAACAGCCAATTCATAGCCTTCTGCTACTTCACCAGGTGTGACACCAAGCCTGAGTAATTCTTCAGCACATTCCAATAAGGCTCCAGCTAAGATGACAACAAAAGCAGTACCATCACCAACCTCAGCATCTTGCATTTCACTGGCAATGATCATGAGTTTGGCAGCTGGGTGCTCAATGTCCAATTCCCTCATGATTGTTGCAGCATCACTTGTAACAAATTGCTTCTCAATGTGATTAATGACCATTTTGTTCATGCCATTTGGACCGTATGCAGAACGCACGGACTGTGCGAATTCTTTGCAGGCGGTAATATTTCTGTAGACGGCCTCCTCTAAACCAGAGAAATGCTAAAACACGAGAATCGTTAATTTGAGCCGGTCGCACCCACACACGCACATGTTAACAAAAATTGATTTTTCGGCTAAAAACACTTACCCTTGCTCCTTCTTTCAACATCTGGGCGAAACCCGGTGCTTTAGGTACGTGTAGGGCCATGTTTTATTTAATTATTTTGCAATTTCACTAAATTATCCGCAACAAAGTGTTTCACTTGCAAACAACGTGACTTTTTGACAAAAGGGAGAGCACCAACTTGATGTTGGCCGCGAACTAGAAATAAATGCTGCCAACGGTTTAATATGTCTGATTGTTTGCCTATATTAATAACCGAACATATTTTCAACTTTATTTTCTACTGAATAAACATTTGTTATTAAACATATACAAATCATTTTATGACAATGCATGCACTATGAATATTCTTACAGAAAATGTATATTAACAGAATACAAAATTTAAATGTAAATTTGTTATATATTAAATCAGAATATTAAACTTATCAACGGTAATAGTCTGAATAAAGACTTAAGTATTATTAATAGTGCATAGTCTAAATTTATCTCAAAATTCATTATAAGAACAAAAGCTATAGCTATATGAATGGGAACAATATAAGAATTTCAACTTAATATTCACGATACACTTTAAGATATTTTTATAATTCACATTGTAATATTATCGATACTTCAGAAAATAATCATATTTTTTATTATGCATTTGTTTGCCACTGTTAGACAACATCTAATCAAGATTTATATTCAAAAAATAAGTACAAATATGTTTATATAAAAATTAGAAATAATTGATAGTTATGATAAGCATTATCTTAATATATTTATTTTATAAATTGAGACATAAAATCACATTTGTTCATTGTGTTTTCGCTTTAATTTTTTTTTAGAAGTCATTTCCACAACGACATGTTTTATCTCAACATATTGATTTTGTAAATTGTGACATAAAATTAATATTCGTTGTATAACTATCACATATTTGTTCATTTTGTTTTTGTGTATTTTCATCACTTTTTTTTCTATAAGTCATGTCCACATCTATCTTATGTTTACAAGAATTCTTATTAGAATACGTAAAATTCAATGACTAATAAAAGCAAACTTCTAGAACTGATGTGGGATGGTTCCCGAGTCGCTCATTGAATGGAATGGCCCGCGTGCAACTTCTGATTTTTAATACTATATTTATTACTATAAACGTACGCATTATGTACGTAATTAAGCGATGTCTGTTCTATACTTTATTTTGGTAATTCGAACATGTGTCAATCTGCGCACAATCGCATATTTCGAAACCCATACAATCTAACAATGGACTATTTCTAGATACAGCCAATTAGAGATAATGGATAATTTATAAATCAGTATCAATTATTCGATCCACTAAGATAACAAATAAATATTTATTTTAAATGAACTTAAAAGTAACTTATATTATATACAATATACGTATTAGAGTGGACAATAGAAATACTCGTTTTGTATTATCTTGACGAAGACACCGACCTGATTCATTGCTGCATAATCGTAGTCACCTCCGATATTCGAATGTTTCCGGCCCAGTCAGATCAATAAATGAAGAAAGCTCTGATTATCACATATACACATTAAAAAATAATTTGAGGGTCTTAAACAAAATTTGATGTGTTCTCAAAGGGTTAATACAAATAAATATCTTCATGTTGTTATGTATAACCGTTATTGTTTATATTATGTTAGCCCTTATTATGTTATACATGTTTATTTATGTAAGTCATTAAGACTTAG